ATATCACGTGTTGCTCATATGATAAAACGAGTAAGAATGAGAAGATTTTCTTACTACAGGTGTTGGTCATACGATGAAATGAAGGGTTAAAATGAGGAATATAATGTAAGTTTACCATCCATTCTAAATGCTAGATTGTTGGTAAATCAAGTGCTTAGAGTAAAGAGCGCAAATTTCACTGCCCAAAATTTGGCATAGTGGGCTTGTAATGTTACTTGCTTTGGCTTTTTTCAAATTGATGCCCTCTTGAGGCAACGCCAATTACACCATACTTCCCAAATGTGTTCGAAGCAAGGCAATGGGATTACCAGATGAATATGCAGAAGAACGTGAGTTTTTAATGAAAGCTTTTTATATATTTTCGAATAAAATTATGACTAAGAGCACTTCCAGCGAGGGGACCAAGGCGAGGGCTGGGGAGGGGGGCGCGGCAAGCCCAAAATGGTGTTTCCAGCAACAAAATTTGGCCCGAGCAAGAAGTGGGACCCAGCGAATTGGGCTGGCCCGAGCTCTAGCATGCGGGCTAAGTTGACGTCAGCGCGGGCTCTCAAAAAAAATTTAACGTTGGCGCGTGCAATACACGCACCAACAGTAAAAAAATTTGAACACACCGCTACAGTGCCCTCGTCCACGTGGCGCACGCTGGGCTCTCGAATCATATTTTTTCTAGCAATCCAACGGCAGCAAATTTTTTTGCAATAAAAAAATGAAAAAAAAGGGAAAAAATTACTGATTTTTTTTATTTTTAAAAGTAAATGTCTTTGTCCTTTTACTTTCATTTATTTTTATATTACTCCATTTACTTAAGTTTACAATGTAAATAAGGAAGTACCCCCCATTTGGATTCAAATAAAAATACTAGAAAATCAAATTCCCACCAGGTCAAAATATAAAAAATCAGTTTTAGTGCAAAATATGATTTAGGCTAAAAATGATGGCTCATTAAGTCAATATATACTTCATACTAAAATCTCATAAAATCAAGTTTTCTTATTTGATGTGTAAGGAATAAAAGCCGCCAAAAATTATCTTGAAAAAATTATTATTCCGAAAAACCATTTTTCATACTTAGTCAATATTGCACCTCCGCTAAAAAAATTCCAGGTCCGCCAGTGTCTATAAATACCAACCAATACTCTTTACTTTTAACATCAAATCCTCATACATTTTTTTTTTCTATAAATACCAACCAATACAAGTAATAAAATAAAATACAACTAAAATAAAATCTTATCCGAAAATATTATCCAAATTAATTGTTTAAGTAAACAAAGTTGTGAAAAAAACAAAAAAATGAATAATATTTGCCATAGCAAGCCTAAACTGCTGGAAACACACTTTGCTGGAGGGCTAGAGCAGCCACTATTCAATTGAATAGTAGCTGCCTTAGGGCTCCCCTTGCCATGGCGAGGGGCTAACCGGTGGAAATGCTCTAATAAAAGTGAGATTGAAAAAAGTGTTTTTATACAAAAAGCACTTTTAATCATAAAAAGTCGAGTTTGCATGTACCAGCTAGCACAGACCAGAGGGCAGATAAATAAGTAATCCACAAACTGTCCTTCCAAGCTTCCACCATAAAACAATTTACATATAAGTACCATTGTTTTGTATGCACAGCTTTGTGACTGCAAATGTTTTTCTACCAGTCAGACATGGAGCTGAGCTGAACCACCAAGACCAAGCTCCAATAACCTGGGTGTACATGTACACCCACTCCACTGCAGCCGTTTTGGAGGGGGGAGAGAGAAATTATGCTTTAAACCTTGTACTTAGACCAGACCCAAACTCTTTGGTCACTCTTAACAAGAGAGATTCTTTGGTCCTGCAGGCTGCAGATAGACCAACCACACACACAAAAAAGGTATCTCTATTTTAAGTTTTACTCGATTTCACGTTGATCCGCCCTAGTGCAGAGGTACCCTTTATTTGTGCATGTGGCTGAATGAATGACTTGATTCACCCGCCGGACCAAAAATTTCTCTCACAATGGACGGTATGAGATGAGACTACCCAGACCCCAAAAAAACATCAACTTGTAATTAGTTGAGTTTTCTTAATTCTTTCGTGTGCTTGGGCCTGAATAACTCTCAATGGGCTTTACGACGCCCAGGCCCAAGTATGATATAGCTTAAATGCTTCAATTTGGCGCGAACCCACATGACCGCCGGTTCTGGCCTCAGAGTCAGTCTCCCTCACCTCAGTTCACCATGACCACACTACCAGAAATAACCGATCTCTTCGCCAGGCTCGCTTCCCGCCTCAAATCCCTAAATGACACGTCGTTTTCTCCTCACACTGCCAAAGAAGAACTTGACGAAGCAGCTCTGGACCTCTCTATTTCAAAGCTGAACCAATCTCTGAACTCTAACGGCAATTCTAGGGTTAGGGTTTTGGACACAGTCCTATCTCTAATGTGCTTCAAAGCTCCCCAGGTCAGCTCTCTCAAATTAGGGATTTTTTTAATAGACAAAAAGAATGTTGAAGTTAGGATTTTTCTCATCTCTGTATTTTTGTTGTGGTGTTTAGGTTTTCGATTCGGGCATTGAGTATTTAGTGAAGACAATTGTCACCGTTTTGTTGTCTTCCATTCGTTGCAAGGTCTTTCGATCTCCGAAAGATGAGATTTTGCTGATTGGAAGCTCGATTTCTCACCGGGATTGTGGGCATTTGATCGAAGCGGCTGCTGATATTCTTGAGAAATTGGAGGGACATGGTGGGTATACACTCTAATACTAAAATTGGTGTTCAAAATTGTTTCATGTTCTATAAAGTAATCTTCTTTTATTATGTAATTCTAAAATGAGTGTTGTTTTCAATGTGTTTGAATTGAAGGTAATCTTTCGGATTCTTTACTGCGTGCCATTGTAAGAGTTGTGAGTTCAGCATCATTGTACCGGCAGCTGTCAAGACCCGTTCTTGATGTAAAATCAGTGGATGCAAGAAAGACCTTGACTTCAAAGCTTCTCTGTCACTTTCCCAGAGAAAAATCCCTTGACAACAATAAAATACCATTCAGGTTTTTGAAAATGGACTTTGTCTAGTTTGCAAGTTCCTTCTGCTTTTCTGTGTGTTCTTGTAGTTATAAATGTGGGGATTCTAATTTCTATGCAGATTGCTGTTGTGGTATCTTGACCCACTAATTTTGAAGCGCGATGTTTCAAACATTTTGCAAGAAACCATAGACAGGCCATTTCTTTGTTTGAGTAAGGAATTTCGTGAAAGTAATGATTGGCTCTCTGTTATCACATCCTTGGTACTTTCTCCCATTATGTTTGTTGAGGCCAGAGCTTTGCTGCACCGATGGTTTTTGGTCACGTAAGTCCATTTCTTGTTGACAAGCACGTTTAAGTTCTTTCTGTTGTAAATTTTAACTAATCGTTGGTCACGCTCAAGGAAACTGAAGTTTTATGAAAATTGATTTAATTTGATATGGTATATTAATAGAATCCAGTTTTGCATCAGGGGTCTGGCTTCTGTGCTTGAGCTTCTAATTCAATTGGTTGCAGTGATATTAGATGTGGTTTCAAGACCAATGTTCTGGGACATATCACTGGAAGTGGGAGCAAAGTTGCCATTTTCTAATGCTTATTTCCCATACAACCAACGCTTGCTAAGGATCTTGACTGGACCCCTCTCCCACGAGGGTCTTATACAATTAGTGCATGAGACAAATGAGCAAGTGCCTTGTGCCCAGAAACAACTTTGTCCAACTTTTAAGCCATCTGCAGTAAAGGTTTCAACAATTGATGACAAATCTCTCTGGTAATTTCTTACCCCATTAGTCCATCTGATAACATATGGCCTATACACCATCTCAGTCCTACAACCCAAGACTGATCCACAAATGTTGCATAGTAGGTCCCTGGCCATCAACTTCCCAGACTGGTTCTACTTTGCTTCTGCATTGCTCTTCTTGGAGAAAACTTCTCATGACAGTTGTCATCCAGAATGCATATTGGGGGCATCCAAAGTTGGAAAAGCACACTACGAAGAACTACCTTCTATTTCTGCAGCAAGGTACATTGCCTGGATTTTGAGTCCTGTTAGTAAATCTCACCAGGATACGCTGGCTGATTGTTTGATTAAAACATCAGAGTCTTGGGCTTTTAAGCCATTTGGCTCAGGTTCCCATGAGAAAGAAACATACGGCTACAAGAAAAAACTCAAGAAACAGAAATTCTGTGAAGAGGACTATAGTTCCACAACGGAGTATGATTATCAAGCAGTTGCAGTCTGGCTCAGCGGGTTCAGTAATATGTACACAAGGAATTGCAATGAAACTGTTAACAGTTCAACATCATGTGAAACAAAACGACCCTGTGGTCTTAGTCTGCAGCAAAATGTCCTGTTCCGGAGAATCCCACTAGGCATCTTGCTTGGTTGCCCTCATTATACCAATGAAGATGGATGTGAATTGCTGCTGCATTATGCCACAACTAGTAGAATTTTTCAGTTGAGGGACACTAACGCTACTGGATTGAAGCATGTAAAATGGAACTCCAAAGGGCATAGGAACTTAGTTACATGGAGTGATGAATGTAATGAAAGGGAAGCTACAGCAGGTGCCTGTCTTGTCTTCAGTTTAACTGATATTATAGAAAGTATGTCTGCTTCACTGTTCGAGACTGAAGAAGCTGGCGTAGACTTTCTCTGCCAGGTGAAAATGCGGATCAGCAAATACTTGATAAAATGCATCAAGAGGTTAATCCAACTCAAAATTGATGACGGAAATTGGGTTGTAATGGATTTCTGCCGTAAATTGGAGAAGTGGAGGCATCAGGGACAAGAAGTATTAGAGCTCCACAAAGATTTAGATGATGTCATTCATGTATTGAGTCAGAGAACATGCTCTGTTTCATCAATGTGAACAAATATTATGCAAAATCGATTTGGCCTTTTGTTTACAAGTTCTTTGCGGCAACTTGTCACAGAAATTTTCTTATCTATCTTAAACACGAACATTACAGATATTTGCTAATACAGCAATTTGGAAACAAAAAGATAAAAAGTAATATCTATTTATTCTCAATTTATTCTTGTAAAGGTAAAGGAATTACATCGCATCGCTTTTCCATAAGCTGTTGTTACATACATTTGGAAATGCTTGCGCAAATCTGAGGACCACAAACTTTGTACGTAGTCCTCCTAGGTGTATCATATCATGTGGAGAGGGAGAGCTTTTCTTGGCTATGTACACAATCACTAAGATGGCAATGAAATTCTTATCTGGTAAAGATAGAACTAATCTGGACTTCATATATGTAGTAATCTACAGAGCCACTGGGTCTTAGCTGCAAACAGCCTCAACCGAGAGCTTCTTCGTACTGCCCGGACAAGGATCTCCTCCAAAAACTTCTGGAGCCACAGTCACTGAGCAGGATTGCTTTCCAATGCAGTTCTGCAGGAGTAAAGAAATTTTAGTTTTTACAGTTATTGAGGAGAATTCAAGTAAGTATCAGCAAAGTGTTGCTGGGCATACCCTTTTAGGAGCATCATACGACTTGTGGGCATGGCAGCTCCCTTCTTGGAAGCTTCCACACGTCCCTTGTGGCAACCCATAGCTAGCAAACTTAATATCAGAGATGACCTGACCAGGTGGACACCATAAATGGGCTTTTGGTCTGTTGAGTTTGCCAGAGGCTAACTTTTGAGAGTTTGTCAATGTTGGTTGCCCTTCAAATATATCAGCACAGACACTTGATGTTCTTCTTTCCACCAAAGATATTTTAGTCGGATCACCGCCCCATTCTTCAAACACTACCAATAGATTCTCACTCGGGGTTAACCACGACCGCGGAACATGATACCTGAAAATAAATAGTTTCACATGACTTCTGTAATTGACAAAACAAAGGTATGACAATGAAGAAGATGAACTTTTCTTACCATCTCTGAGAGGGCTCCCCACAATGTGTTCTGCATTTCTTGTCGTCGTAAGTTCCAGCATAATAGCAATTGCCACAATTACCCCGTGCTGTATATGCAGGCCAGTGGCGTCCAATGCTCTGTCCATTGATCCATATCTGACCTTTTCCCATGCTACTCATATCCAAAGCTAATGGGCCATTACCTGGGGGTGCATTAAAAGTGGCCTGGAAATATCACAACTCAAAATTAATATCTTATCTTTGATGAACTCCAAAATAAAGATTTACATATAAGAGATATATTGGGAGAATACTAACCTTGTACCAGGTAAGAGGTTGCTTTTGAGCCATTGACGGTCCTTCTGCCCATTCAACAGAAGAACTCCCACTGACAGTATGAAGACCTAAAGCTTCACCTTTGAGACCAACCTGCTCATAAAGCACATGCCAACACACAAGTTATTCTCTAGTTGTCTTTGTCAAAATTTTCAGCATCGTGGCAGGGGAAGCAAGTGGAACAGGAAAGTTGAAGGGCAACAAACCTTGTAGGTCCATTTCCATCGTGACATGTCCCATGTTCCTGAATTCAGACCCTTCAATGTGACCGGGCCCAGAACTCCAGCATTCCATGTCTCAAAGTGAAGACCAACATTCTGATTTTTATTAAACCACAGAAAAGCAAAAATGTCAATTGCCATATCAATGCATTTAACAACCAAAATCCCATTAGAAGATGGGGGAACTAACCGGAAGACCCACTGAAATGCTAAGTAAAGCAAGCTTATTGATGCCGGATCTCAGCTTCACGTTTTGACTAAATGTTAATTTAGGATTCTCCAATGCCCCATACACGGTTCCTGCAATATAGGTAGACCATTTTATAAAATTTAAATTCATTCAGCAGAAGAAGTAGACGAATTTACACAAAATGTCATCCTCTTTCATGTACCTGATAGCTGACCATTGATGAAAACATGCAAGGCATGACCAGCTGAATAGATGGTAAGAAGAGGTGACTCTCCTCTCTTTATAAATCCTTCATCAGGACTGATTGTGATACTGGTAACATCAATTTAAATTACTAAGTTAGAAAGAAAAGAAAATCAATAGAAAAACAAGAAAAAAGAAGTTTACACAGATTTAGTTCCTTTCCCAAATACATTGAATAAAAGATAAAAAAAACTTAAACTCTATGGTTTGTTTAATATACTTACTCTGTCATGTACCACAAGTAGTCTGTAGTATCCCTAGTGACATTTATTTGTTCCCACAACCCGTCCAACGTAGTTGTATCAGATTCATCGAAGAGGCACTTTCTTCGATGAATGACTGCCAAGGAAGTGCAGATTTTACTGGTGTCATCTTCATCTGCGAGCTTTGGGAACCAAGCTGTACAGAGATAACAATCCCAAGTGAATCTCCAAGTAGAAAAGCTTGAACTTTCTAGACTGAAATTAAAAAGTACAATTTGAATGGTGTAGACCGAAATATCCAAACTCCTCACCCTTGCAGTGTTGTAAACTGCAGTTTTGCAGTCAGGGAGAATGCTGATGGACCATGGTGGCAGTTCATATTGCCCATTTCCAAAGCTAACTTTAGCAGAGGACTTTGTGTCATAATTTGCAAGGAATGCAGCACACCCAGACTTCGACTTGAACACATGAGCCTACAAGGATAACAATGAGAACCTTAGCAATTTCAAAGAAGAATAAGATTTATGATATGGTTTTTCTAGCTAGGTAAAAAAAAAAAACCTTACCTCTTGACTATTTCCAAGTGATGTCACTGAAGGTTCTGCAGACACTAAAGCTGACTCGGATGACTTGATGGCTTTATGTAGATCTCTCAAATGTCCCCACTTTGGTTCCCTTGGTAGTCCTGGCATAGCATAAGGAAACCAATTTTTATCCATGTGAGATATTAAGTTTTTGCACTTGTTAAGCATTTTCCTAGTTGGATGTTTGAAAAATTACACAAGTACGTAAAGTGAGGATTATGACTTTATGAGCCAAACTTTATAACAACCTACTCTAGCAGGCTAATCTCTATTTACATACCGTATTCGTCTAAAGGGGCGTCGTAGTCATAGCTGGTGGCCATGAAAGGACCTCCAGCTGTTCGGCCGAAATTCGTTCCTCCATGGTACTGGAACACAAAGTGGGAGGAAAGAAAACAAAGTTTAGAAAGCATAGTCTAGGTGATTAAACACCAGTCAAATACAGTTAACTCGGAAACTAACCATGTAATAGTTCACAAAAGAACCACCCTTCTGTATAAACCTTGCAATTGAAAATGCCAAGTCTTCCGCAGGTCTAGTGGGAACTGCCCCACCAAATTCTGTATACCTGTAAAATACATACAAAGAGGCAGCCTCATCAAAGGACTTGAACAACAATACAAGACAGTACCTACACAATAGTAGGTCTCCGGCAATAAATTTTTGGCCTGTACAGGAAACATGTGTGACTTACCAGCCAGTCCAGACTTCTGTCCACATTTTGGGTTTGTAGTTCTTGTTTGGAGTGAAATTTTCACAGTAGAAACCATTGCAGGTATCGATCTATCACATAATAAATGATGACAAGGTTTTAGTCTAAACTTCTAGAGATGAGGATAGAAATATCTTGAAGCTCTTTTTTTTGTTCTTTGTTGCAATTAATAGCACAATTTATTTGGCAGAACAAACTCAGTTATTGACCAAACCAACCCAAGTTGACTTCCATGTCTTCAGCAGAAAAGTCAGAATTATAAAAAATTTAAACGAATTCATTGACAAACAGAGCTGCAGATCTGGAGAATTAACACATAAAATGGGTACAAGCATTGCCCTGACCACATGAAACAAAAATCTACAGCATGAGGCCACCAACTTAGTTAAGATGACAACAAACTGCTTAAAAACCCCACCAACAAAGGAGGGTCACACTAAATGAAGAACTATTATGCGATGCTTGTAAAAATTGACAACACAAAGGAGAAAAAAGATAAAAAAGAACTTTGAAAAAATAGGCAGAGTAGCTTACAACTGGATCAGGGGCATCTTCTTGCTTACACATAATCCATGGCACTCCAGTGTTGAGACCCACAGCCATCCGAGCTGCCCATTTGGTATAAGCTTTACCAGGGGCACCAATTTCCCACTCTACTGGTCCAAATTCATTTTCTATCTGTCAAATTTTAAATAAAATAAAAAAGGGTTAATATAGCATTGTCTGCCCAATATTTTCCTCAGCAAATAAAACAAAAAGAAACAAACACTGCTCAATTTCTTATAAAATTGGCGCTGGAACTAAAAGCAAATTGAAAACCCAGTTCAAGAAACATGGCAAAGATTAAAACTTCGAACTATTTTTCTCACCTGAGATAGAATTATAGGACCTCCCTGACTTTGAAACAGCTGTTCTGCCTTCATCATGCTGACAATCTTCTCCGTAAATTTTTGCATTGCCGCCTGCATAACAGTAATTTAGAAATGAAATCGATAAATTAGAAAATTTAAAAATTAAATTATCGAATTAGAAGCAATAGAGGAAATGGAAGATTCCTAAATGCCTAACCTTGAAAGGCTCATTGTCAGTTCTAAAAACAATTCCGGGAACATATTTAAGCCAAACGGGGAATCCCCTGTATCAGAAACAGAGAAAAACCAGAGTAATGAATACGACAAGAACAAAAGCAAGAAAATTTCTAAACTTCAGTCATTGGCTAAACCTAGGGGTAATATTTGTTTTTAATATTATATTATTACCCGAAGTTCCATTCAGCGCACACATAAGGGCCAATCCGGAGATTAACATATAGGCCTGCTTGGTGTACCAGCTTGATGAACTTGACCAAATCATATCTGTCCTCAAAATAATACTGCAAATTTGAATAAAAAAACAAGTTAAACTTCTAAAAAGTACACTTTAACACCAGAGCATAACTATATTTGCATTAGGGGAGAGAGAGAGACAGAGAGACAGAGAGACAGACAGAGAAAATTAAAATGCAATTGCATTACTTTTCCTGGAGAAGGCTCATGCCCATTCCAAAACACATAGGTCTGAATAACATCCAAGCCTCCATCTTTGGACTTCTGTATTAAATCAGGCCACATCTGTAACCACACATACAAACGCCAGAAAAAACCCATAAGTCAAAAAAGCATTAAAATACCATCACAAATAATAAATAAATATTAAAAAAACAAAAAGAAAGCTATGAACCACATTGGCATTGTTGGTACCTCAGGTGTGCTTCTGGGATAATGAATGGAGCCAGAGATGAGAATTCTCTTCTGCCCATTAATTATTATAGCTTTGTGGTCATAGCTCACAGAGGCAGTAGCTGCAGAAGCCAGCCATGAAAACAAGAGCAATGAAAGGAGCATGTTGTTGCCTCTTAACACGTTCCACATTGTTTAAATTCCAACACCCACAAGCCTCTCAAACGCGCAAAGCAACGGCCTTTATATTTGTCTCTGTTTTTGTTTGCATCTAACTTGAAATATTTTATTTCGGTATCGGGATTTGGTTTTGATTTTTGAATGCACGCTTTCTTTTTTGATGCTTTTGATATTGAAAGAGGAGAGAGAGAGTGAGAGAGAGAGAGAGAGAGTGGCAGAGTTGTGGTAGTGTAATGGATTTGATGGGTGAGAGAGTTTTGGTTTAGTTGCGTTGAGAACGGGTAGCTCCCCCAACTGCTTTATATACATTTTCAAGGATGCAAATTTATCTAACAAATCTGAATTTAAAAACAAAATGGAAATTTTTGGAGCTTATCCTTTGGCCCTTGATTTTCTTTTTTGGTCTTAAATTTAAAAGGAAACGTGATTTGGATTGGAAGATATTTTTTCTTTAAAAGGTATAAGTAAGCATGCATGGGATTATCCATGTTGGAAAAATAATCCATTCAACATTGTTTTGGAGGAAAACAGAGAAAAATAAAAGGAACCACCACCACTAACATATGTTGAAAGAACTTGGTCATTTTTTATCGATTGAAAACGATGGTCTATTTACTCAATTGAACAAACTGACCCCACTGAGATTTTGATTTATTTAAGATATAGATCTTTTTCTTGTGTATATAAAGAAATTTGAGAAAAGATTCTAGATTTTCGTTATAGGATAAGGTGATCAACTCTTTTTTTCTTTCCATGATTGTCTTAAAACCATCTAATATCAAACTTGCATTATTTTCATTTAAATATCGTTCACCCAATATCTTTTTCTTTTTATTTTTTATACAAACTATATTCTATGCTTTAATCTAATCTAAATTATGGGGATGGAGATTCGAACTCGGGGCACATCTATTCTAGCCAACTTGATTATTTTCTCTTTAAATGTACACTTTCATGCTTATCATTATTTTTTAATAAATAGTTTAAAATAGTTTTTGTCAACAAAATAAATAAATAGAGAGTAGGAGGAATCAAAAGGTGCAAGCAAAACAACAAATGGGATGTGTTGGTTTTCATGACTTTAAGCTTTGATTTTCCATTTGCCCTTACGAAAAACAGAAAAGAAAAAAGTCCATATTGATGTGCACAAGAAGTCACAAGACAACAGTAAAGCTTCATTATTCTATACATTCTTCGAAGAAATTCACTGTTGTTTTGGTCATATTCGTTGAAAGTTAAAAGTAGCAAGATCAAGTTTCCACATATCTATAGCTTTTTGCAAGCAGTGATGCAGTTGCTTTCACTCTAAACTATTTCCAATTTCCACTCTGGACATGCTGGCTACGAATCGCAGCACGCCATGTGGAAAGTTAGAATATTGCACAAACTATTATTCTATTTTTTCTTTTTTACTCCACCTTCACTATTATGCCATATGGTCCGGTAATTGAGAGACTAAATTGCAGCTTACGCCTGCAAAATGTAAAAATACAATCCGCAAGTTCATGTCATGAGGAAGTTTCCAGGACAAACTCATTAATGTTTGTTAGTCTAATTTGAGTGCTAAAATGGTTTATACATCATTTGTCATATTACTTACACGAGTAAGAAATTGCTAACAATTATCAAATACAATAATTACAACTTCGAAATCAAGACATGTATTCCGGACAACGGTTTTCACAATATCATTTACGCTTGTGTGTACGATTTTGATTTGTTGATGTATAATATAGAGCGTACGTACTATGAGGCTTACAATAATCAAACGGTTGTTGAAACTAGCATTTCTCTCTCTTAGAATTATAACAAAAATTGCATAACTACGCTGGTTGAATTTTTGGCTTGATGTCTATTATAATGGGTGATGTATCGATCAGACCAAGTTTCCTGGTTGTTATAGAATACAACTGTGATTGGGTGACCAGTAACCTACCGCTTAATCAGTTGATTTTAAGACGAATGCATGAGTCTCCCGTTTCAACGAAATAAAAATGATGTCAAATGCATAAATTCAAACATGTAATTTTATATATTTTAATATCTTATTTTGAGCTACATCGAGATCGGTCCAATTTCAGAGTCATTATATCATATGCAAATTATTATTTATATAGCACCGAAGACGTATTCATTAAACAATCAAAGTCATATATTAAAACTAATTTTTTTTGGTTAACAAAACATTTTCTGAATAAAATACTCATTTGATTCTCATGGTGTCACAACACTCAAGATCCTATCTTATCTCTAACCAAAATATATACAAACTCGTTTATTTATTTATTTATTTATTTTCCGCATAAAACTTATCTTCAAGTTATGAAATATACATAATTATCTAAATTTTAAAAATGAGGTGGACTAAATTTACCTTACGAGTGAACTATTAATTTTAGACTAAGCTAAACCTTAAAATTGATATACTAATTATAAAAAATATTCTTTAAAAAAAAAAACCCTCACTTGAGCTATAACCCATATTAAACAAACGTTGATACGTCCCTGTCCGTAATTAACTTAATTCATTACATGCATGTCATGTCATTTGTGTGACATAATTTCTTAATCCTATGCATTTCTCAGTTACTGGGAAAGGAATCCACTAGCAAAAAAGAAGAAAAAGAAAGGAATATTATTGTATTTTAAAATATTTGAGGGGCAGAGATAAGACATAAATGCATGAACACTTTGCTAAGTGCAAACTTTGGAAAAGCGATCCGTGAAAATAAAATTCTTGTCTTCCTCTCCTGAGACGCAATGAGATGCACCTCCTAAGTTCTATGTCCTCACATGCTTCATGTTGATGTTGTTGTTGTTGTTTTTTTTAAGGTAATTTATAATTAAGATAATATTTTCTCATTACAGACACAAAAAGTCGAAAAAGAAAAACAAGCTTGACAACAAAAGATGTTCGAAAGCAAATATTATTTTATATAACAAAGAAAAGAAGGTAATCACTTTATTCAGGTTCAGTGATGATAACAATATTAATCGTCAACAACAAACCAGTAATTAAAACCTAAACAATTATTTAGGAAAATAAAAAGAAAAAAGAAAAAATGGTTTAAAAAGGGTTAGATGGCTTCCTATCTTGTCATGCAGTTACGTATCAAAAACTAGAATTGGCAGGTCCCAAAGCATTACCCAACTTTGATTTATTTATTTTTCGATCAACTTTAGTAGTCTTTCATTTGTTTTATGTTTTACTGAGTTTAGTTTTTTTTTCTTCTAATGCAAATGTTATTTATTTTAAGTAATTCCATATCAATATGACCTACTTATTTTAGTATTGAGGAAATATTTGTCCTAAAGCAAACTTGACTTGTTAGTTCTTCGTGTATGAAAATTTGGATTTAATATGTGATTCAAATTGACTTGTTCGACTATGGAATGAATGTTCGTTCTTCAAAGAACGTCAACGAAATATAACGACATGTTATTAATACAATTTTAATAAAATGGACAATGATAATTTTTTCATTATCCATATTTGTAATTCAGACCCTACCTTAAAATTAAGAACGTCACGTTTTATACATTTGAAGCCCAAAAGCAATATCCAATTTCTCACAAGAGTCGCTTAAATCTTTTAAGAAAGTAATGAATCAGCATGGCCACTTGATTAGCAAGTATAAGCAATCAAATTGGCTTTTTCCAAAAGCACAAGCCAAAATCCAACATACTGCAACTGTGTGATAATCAAGAGGATGATGAATGCACAACATCAGCCTCATGACCAAATTGCCCTTGGATGGGCCCCTCAAAACAATAAAATAGTTTCTCTCCTCATGCAAAATGCAACATAACAAACTAGGACCAAAACAGTCGTCCGATTGGAGAGAGAATATTGATCGTTTTAATGATAAGGCAAAGCGTTTTAAGGTTCGCCAAACAAGCCAAACAAAAGGGAAAGGCAGAGGCTGAGGGCCAAGCCAGGCAGGTTGTGTCTTTGTTTTCTTTTGGATGAGTTTGCCACGCTTTGATGAGGCCTATTGATTGGCAGTTATCCAAACTTATAGCTTCTGTGGGGTCCAAATGTTTCTATGTCAGCAGGCTCATTTTGGACTTTCAAGAAACTTTGTGGGCCATCTCGCAAAGGGTCGGTGTCACCAAACCAAGCGAGTGAGCCCATTTGATTGATCTGATCAGATCAAATGATTCCACGATTTTCTATGTATATTTTTTGCATTGATATTAAATATATATTTTTATTTTATTTTGGACAAGATATTAAATATTTTTTAAATAAATAGATAAACAAAGAAATGGAAAATATGATTAAAAAAAGATTGCACCTCATTTAGAAGATTTTGAATTTATGGGTTTTCGTAGTTTAGTTCTTGCCTCGTGGTCCATTGCATGTGTTATATACAAATTGGTTTATTTATTTTATTTTATAAATAGTCCATAAACTTTATTCTAAGTTTCCTATGATGCAATGCTTATCATGATTGTGTTTAAAAGAGGACGACAATTTCCCAATTTTTCAATATCAAGACTCCATTAGTCTTTTTGATTTGATACGAAGTCATATACAACAGCCGAAAGCCATCGGAATTTTAATGTTATCCTCAAAATCAAATTTGGACAACCACTAAATCTTTAATATTATGAAGTCAAGTTGATCAATCGAAGATATTCGTATAATATAATAGTCAAATGACATAACATGTCAGATATGTTAAGACAGTTTAATTGATATATTATGTTGCGAGACTAACTAGTAGTCAATTGATGTCAAACTAAATATTGTGTAATGGTAAATTAACGATATAACATGTGAATTATCAATTAAAATAATGTTTCCTCCTATGAAGTAGGCCATGTTTATCGTAATAATGTAGAACACCAACTTGGTTGGACGTCCACATCCATGGCATTGGCAATATGAGTTGAACTCTGCGGCCGCCCCATGATCTATACAAAGTTTTTGTTTGGTCAGAATCATTGATACATATTCTTCCAAATCAAAGTGACAAACATGTTAAAAACCAATGGGGCCATAAGCAGAAAGCCAGAAACGGTTGGATACGGCAAAAGAAAGGATCCCACATTGATAATGATGTATTTAACAAAAGACTTAACGAAATTATCCTCAGCGAATACTGATTTGTCATTTGACTTGCCAAATTAGTATTAGGTACGCTAATTGAAGTTTTAACCAACTCTTAATCAATTTCTGTTGTAAATATAATGACCCAATATCCTAAATCTCTCCATTAATCTTGGTTAGTTGTATGATATCCAGCTGCTCAACTTTCCTTGACATTGAAAGTTGAAAAACTACTTCACTTAA